AGTATTCACTTCAGCATATTCGGAAAATGCTGTTTCGAAAAAAGCGCGTTTAAAGATAAAATGATCGTTTTCACTCTTTGCTCATGAGACTCTCTAGCTGCCGAGCGGCTGCTCTTTAAATTGCTATAACTCAAAAACTATTTGAGATATCGATTTGAAATTTTAATATGTTATTTATCGAAAAATAAAAAAAAATCGATTTTTTTGAAATTGCACACTAGGTGTGCCCCCTAAGTATTTCTTTGACCGGCTTATTGCCTAAATTTTAAGACAAGCCGACTCTAATATACCCGATCCAACGACATTATCTTCAAAAAATACATTCATCTATAAAAGAGAGTTCTGCTTATCACTATTTTCGGTATCACTAAAATGCTTGAAAATATAATTTCGGTTCCAACATAACTTAACCTTACCTTATATATTGGTTACATCAAATGTAAGAACATCTATAAGCACGTTTGTACATTTCCATTCACATATACGTACAATCATATTGTAACTGTAACTGAGTGCTTTAAGAACGCGTAGATTATCGAATTGGTTTAAGCGGATGTGGCACGTGTTGGTTACGCTGATATTGAAAAGTTTAAACTTAATAATAGTCAACCCGGCCATTTGATAACGGTTATTACGGAAAAATATATAATGAAATGTATATATATATATATATATATATACCTGTATTAATGAAGAGAAGTATTTAAGCTGGTCGAAAGCTAGCCTACAATGTAATATGCATAAAGCCTTAGCTATAGAGTGCTCATTTCATATGTAATTAATCAGTGTGTATAAGAGACTAGTATATTGACGGGGAAAATAACTGAAACGTTTGACCATGCCACTACTACTAACTAGCCACGTAAGGGGTTTTCTTTTGCAACCGACCTGCATAAGAACGGTAGGTATATAGGTTAGCTAATAACATGGAAAACAATAACACAAAATAAGCAAGTTGAGTTTATTTAACCGATTTGAGTTGAAATCGCCTAAACAATACCCGATCTGACTAATAGTGTTGTAATGGAAAAGAATGGAACTATTGAGTTGCCCTTAAAGAAACCGGCGATTTTTCATTCAGATGGCGTTGACAACATTTTCTTGAACAGCTTGTGACTATTTAATTGTAATTTTTCTTTTGACAGTTATAAGTTGTCACTTTTACCTTGCTTTAGAAAAGAAATATGTGTAATTTTGTTTATATTTGTTTGTTTGGCGTCAACTTTAATATGAAGCCCAAGAAAGAACATTTTCTCCATATTTTCCTTAAACGAAAAAATGCCTCACAGGTTGCCAAAAAGTTGCATAATTTGTATGGTGTTAAGGCTTTAACAGAAACACAGTGTCGAAATTGGTTTCTCAAATTCTGTTCGAGATATGTTTTGCTCCAAGATCAGCCACTTTCGGCCAAATGAAGTCGATGATGATGATTTCAAGTATTTAATAGAATCAGATCGTCCTGCAACTGAGCTTGAGATTGGATAGAAGTTAGGTGTACCGAAATCAACTATTCAAAATCATATGCGACGTCTTGGACTGGTAAAAAAACCTGATATATAGGTTCCACATGACTTGAAAGAAATTCATTTAACAAGCCGCTTCTTATATGTACCTTAAATGTAATGACTATGATTCGTTTTTGAAATCATAGCTGGAAATGAAAAATGGATTGCTTACAATAATGTTAATGGAAAACGATAATAAATCAAGCATGATGAAGCGCCAAAATCACTTCAAATTCTGATATTCACCAAAAGAAAATTATGCTGTCAGCTTGGAGGTATTGGAAGGGTTTGGTATATTCTGAGCTGTTTCCAAGGAACCTAACGATTTATTTGGATGTCTACTGTGAACAACTACACAAATTGAATACATCCATCAACGAGAAGCGGCCAAAATTGGTCGGTATTCCAACAGTACAATGCTAGACCGAGCACATCTTTGTTCACACGCCAAAAATTCAGAGAGCTTTCCTGGGAACTGGTGATGCATCCACCATATAGCCCTGATTTTGCACCGTTAAACTGCTATTTGTTTTGATCTTTGTAGAAATCATTAAATGGTAAAACTTTCGAAAACAACTAGTCTATAAAATCGAGTGTAGTGTAGTAGCGGCCGCAATAGTCTAGTGGCTGTTGCTGTTAAGGGGTTACATAGATCGTGATGGCCAAAGAAAAAGCTTATTTTCTCTAATTTTTTTTTAAAGATACTAAATAAAGTATATAATTTATTTTGTTTATATATAAAAGTACAATATGTGGCCAACATTTGATGATAATTTGAATGAAAAATAGTATAAGTTAAAGCGTTGGCAGTATCGTGAAGTAGGCCATCCACAGGAAAGTGCTTTTGCGGTAGGCATTATAACCTTTTCAATTTTTGTCTGAAATCAAAAATCCGATTTTTTTCTTAAGGTGGGTGAATTTTCCTTGTCTCTGAACGAAGAAAAATTAAAAAAATAAAAATAAAAATTTAATTTTTTATATTAATTTTTTGCATAAAACTGGGTTGGTAAAATGACTTGAAATCAGAGATAAAATAAATTCTTGGTTCAGGGACCACATAAACCTGTTTGAAATAAGTGTGGAAAATTTGAACTCGGTCGTTTCGATAGTCGGTGAGAAATTTTGACTTCGATGGTTTTAAGAAAAACGCGTTTAAAGTTTCGCCATCAGTCAAGCCATGTCAAAGACGGCGGGTTATAAAACTTTCCAATTTCTACAGTTCCGTCTCGATCGACTTGTAACTTGGGGAAAATATGACTGACACTTTGTACTTTTATACAAAAAAAGAGTTTTTTGAAGTTTCAAGACCGATTTAATCCCTTAAGGAGCAGAGTAGCGAAAAAGTCTCTTTCGTTCTTTCGCCATCGCACACAATAATTGAAGCTGTGCCCATCCACATTTTGGAAGATTTTGTGGAACGAATCTTGATGCCGAACGAACATCAGGCGCATTGTTCATACAGCGATAGGTCCTGAAATTAGATGACCACCGATTCCAAATTTACCAAGAAAATTTAGTTTAGCGATGAAACCTACTTCGGATTGAATAAATATGTTAATAAACAGAATTTTCGAACTGTGAGTGATATTAATCCACAAATCATTGTGTTCTATGAGCAAGGGGAATCAATGTTCCATATTCTCTTAGAAATAAACCCACACATAATGGAAGAGTCAATGGGAAAATGGCTAAAAGCCATGATTAATGACTTATTCGTGCCTAAATCGGGAAATGTTAATATTAACGAACTCTGGTTTCAGCAACACGGACCAATACGTCATATAGCCAATAAAACAATCCAATTATTGAAGATAATGTTTGACTGATATGCGTCCGCGAAATGGTATAAACTACTCGTCAATTGTGAGATTTTTTCAGGATATACAAACTTTTTTATAGCCAAAAACTGGCTCCCAGGTATTATACCAAAACCGCACCTCAATATCAAATCAGCCACAATAGCTGAAGCTGAGTAGTGAGCAGTGTATATTACCGTTTGGAGGGCCATTGTTCGAGTTCTGATCCGACCAATATCCAATATTCGTTGAGTGTTCTAATTGTGGGTTGACGAAGGACTATATTCGTTCCAGTGGTTGTTAAGGATTAATGCAATATAGCAGATACCTTGGTACCTCATTCTAGTTCGGTTAGAAATAAAAATATATATTTCTGTTTCCATATTTACGTGAAAATACATATGTATGTATATAATTGGCGCATTGTAACTGCTGAAGCGATTTCCGGCCGAGCTCCTCCTCCAAATTGTGGTTTTGCGTCTTAATGTTTTTCTAACAAATGGAGAGACCTAGAGTTTATACAAAACCAAGTATTGACGGATTTTTTATGAGGATTCTTTATTTCCTATCAGAAGTACACTCGGAGGGGTTGACATTCCTTGTCGAGGGGCGATCGCAATTAGGAAATTTAACTTAATTTTTTTTTTTGAATTAATTTTCTACGACATTTAGACTTTAGTGGGACCTGGATTTGAGCTTGCGCCTTCCGAATAGCAGTACGCAATGCTAACCACTCGGCTACCGCTGCCAAATTTTTGTCCTGGAAGTTCTGAAGCAATAGGTGAAGCAAACTCATACAACATCCATATTTAATTTTTATCGATTGCCGATTCGTTTTCGTTATATTACTTCCTTTTCATGAGAAGAAGGCTGGAGAAGTGTTATTTTTAATTATACAATAGTGCAATCCACTCATTTTTGAAAAAGTGAGGTCTAATGACCTCGCCGGACCTTAAACCACGCCAAAAAGTTACACGGTTGATGAGGGAAAGACTTTTCAACACTAAATCTTGGGTTTTTCGGGCCACCGATGCGACAGTTTTATTTATTGACGCAGTCATCGTGGTGGCCTCATCAGTCCAGATGATTTTTCGATGAAATTTCGGTTAATTTTCTTACATTTAAAGGACCTCATCAACAAATACACGACGTTTTTGCTTATCGGCCGGCTTGGGTTCTTGTCTTAGCTGAAATTTATTAGCCTTAAGACTTAAGCCTTTATGCGAAATACGGTGTAATGACGTTTTTGGTAGCCCAGTTCCAAAGAACTTTGAGGAATGGATAAGCTTGAGTTTTCTTCAACATTATGAGATACAGAAGAAATATTCTCAGTTGATCTGGAGCGTCGAAGTGTTTTATTCTACATATCACTGAGTTGTCTCAACCGTTTTACTTTCCACTAATTTCTGTATTGCGATCCGAGAAGGTGCTTTATAACGACCGGATAATACTTTAGTTTTAGTCTGTCAGATTCTCACCATTTTTATAGTAAATTTTTATAATTTCAATGCGCTCTTGAAACGTCAATCGTACCATTTTTTTACTGCCGCAGTTTTTACTTGTCAACTGTCAAAAAAACAGCTTCAAAAGTGACATCTACCGGAATACCAGACTATTTAAAATGACACCTTTTATTGGGAAATTCTTTACTTACCATTAAAAGCAATTAATAGTTTTTAATCAAAAACTGACTTTTTCTTTATAAAAATTCCATTTGATTTGTATTTGCTTAATGTCTACGGTTGACACGATTTCATGGCTTAAACACTAAAACAGTTTAAAGGACTGTGAGTATTTAGAAAGTGAAGCAATTTGTAAATAATTCAAACAGAAATAATTAACAATTCTACAGAAAAATAAAACGAAATAATAAATGAACTTGGGAAGAGCATTATTCATAAGGAAAGCAGTCCGAAAGCAAAAAAGTAAATATTAATTGGCACATCCTATAAATTGGCTGTAAAACAAATAAAATTAAAATGTATATACTTAAATACATACATACATATGTACACAAATACAAACGTGGAGTACACATTTATGATCACCAGGAGATAACAAAAACCGAGCATAAAACTGAAAATGTAAACACAAAACACTTTACACTTAGTTGACAGTTGACAGTTGACAGCAGCTGTCAGTTGACACTTGTCATCTGACCCTTGAAACTTTTTAGCTAACAGCTTACACTAGCTTAGCGCACCTTTACAACTTCGTCCTACTGCTGTACTCCACTACACTTGGCTGGCGTTATTACATACATATTAGTTATCCTCATCGCCGCCAGCATCATCAGCTTCCTCACCGCCGCTCGCTGGTCCTGAGAAAATATAATTGTCACGTCCGGAAATGCCAGTACCACCGGCATCACCCAACCATGGATAGACATTGGGACATTCGCGACAAGTCTCCATGTAACGTGTGTCCGTTACATTCTGTTCGGGTATCTTAAAGGGTAGCGCACAGGTATTCCAAATGTTGCATGGTTTGGGTGCAACAGCAACGCTCTTATCACATTTCCATGATTCAATGGTGTTGACGTCACGTAACTCCTTGGGGTCGGTCATGTATTGCAGCATTTGGGTGATGGTGAGTATGTAGACGTCGGGACTGCAAGAAAACAAAACAAAAAAACCAGTAGAGAGTGGCAAAGTGAGAATGAATGGGATGTTGTTGAATGAATGAAATAGTTTTGCAAATATGATAAAAAAGTTATTTGGTTAAAATTACACTAAAAATTTAGAGGTGAGAGAAAAAAAGTTGAACTGAGAGTTCAAAAACAATTATTTACATTTCCCTCCAAGTGTAGTACAATAAGAAAATTTGGAAAATAAAATAGTTTAGTATTCAATGTTTGGATTTCGGTGACCAAGAACTGCACAGTAGGAAATTTCATCAATAACAATGTATTTAAAAATATATATTCTAATATTCTATATATTGTTTGTAACTGAAACCGCTGAGGTGACTTTCGCTGTTTTTCCAACATCAGCGGAGGGACCTACAGTTTATTCTAAATCACCTCCGACCGGCCGATGGATTTTTATGTGCAGTTTTTTATTACATATCACAAATACGCTGGAAGGACTCGACACTCCCTGCCGAGCTCTTATTTTTTTATTATTTTGGGTGCTGGTCGAACGAGGACTAGAAACCTGACTTTAAATATTGAGACAACTATCAGTCTGAAGATTGATTTACTTAGAGAAATTAATTTTTAAAACTTAAGACTTTATGTACAATTCCATGAATTCCACTTAGGTCATCGTCTAGACGAAAATCCAATATTTTCGCCCATTCTATTGGTTTAGTGTGAGTTGAGTTTCAAAACTTATTCATTGCTTGTAATTTTTGTTGCTTTTCTTATTTGCTTTCACAGTTCGTGTCAATGTGGTGTTAATTGCTAACCATTTGGTGATTATATATAAGTGGTTTTCTTTATTAGGGTGGAATAGTATTTTTCATCAGCTTTGGAATTGTTAAATGTAAATTTTACAAATTATAAAATTTTACATAAATTTTGATAAGTAACTTTCCTCAAAATATTGAAGTCTTCCTAATTATATTAAGACAAGAAGGGAAGCCTCTATAAAAAATGCACAACAAGAGACTGATCTAAAAGGACATACATATAAGAAAGTTCTCCTATATACACAGATAAACGATCAACACATATTTAAAGAACTGAAAGTCAATTATAAGTAGTATAATTATTAATAAACTCCCCAACATTCTATTGCGGAAAGCATACGTCTATATCTAAACCTTGTAGGTTAGAATACTAGAATAGCCAAGCCTCAAACCAGCAACACTCTGTATATGAACTATTTCATTATCTCGCATGTTGCAAACTAAACTTGAAGCCTTAAAGTCCGAAAAAGATATTTTTATTGATAAAAAGCAACGCTAAAAGTTTTGAAATCTCTTTATCTCTACAAGAGATGGTTAAATATAATAAAGCTAGAGGTACTAGGATTCATTTACCAGCGATGTTACAAGGATTCTTTCTATACATCGATTGTTCATGTGCCGTGAGACGAAGTTTCGAAATTTAGGATTCTTTGGATGAATATGTAAGCCCAGCCCTGAGTCATGTATTGCTAGTTATTCTCAAAATTCTGTTTACATAATGAGAACCTTAACAAATTTTATGTTATTAACCTATTTTTCGATAATTGGTTTTGTTCGTTTTAATGGTTATAAACAGGACATATTGAGCATTTGAGCGACGACTACATGCACGCGCGGTTATTGCTCGTTCAAATTTTGGTTTTTTTCTCAAAACTTCTTTCTTTCATTTAAAATTTATTTTAATTTTATTTACGGAAGGTAAATATCTACGTCATTGAAGTACTAAAGAAATTTTAACAAAAAAAAAAAAGGAAAAAATGAAAAATTTCAAACAAACATTTGAGCTACTCAGCAGAGAACAAGTATCGAGCTCGTACTGCTCTCGGGTACCTAGAGATCTAGCAGAAAATAAAAAAAATAATTGACTTCAATTAGGATATACATATTTACTGATGATGAAAAAAGGGAGAGGACTGAGCGCATATCTGGAACTTCGTATAACAATTCCTAAAAGATGGTGAAATGGGAGAAATTTATTTAGATTGGCCTATTTTAAAACATAATTGCCAGAAGATTGCGTGCTGGAGCTCTGATGACACCTTGTATTTGGATATAGTCTTATATTTGAGAGTAGACCTTCCCAGTATAGGATTGTTCTTGTTATTTTACACAATATCAGGTTGCAACAGAATTCACTCCTTTCATAGCGCTACAATGGACACTAAAGATTATACAATGCTGGAAAACCTAACAATTAAAATAGGTTTATTTTTTTGCCATATAAAGGTTTTCCAAAATTTTGCCATATAAAGGTTTTCCAAATCCAAAGTCTTAAAGTTAACTGTGGGCTTTAGTATTTTACAAAATATATCCGATATAACCTTATATGCGATGTTAATAAGGCTTATTCCACGGCAGTTGGCGATGTTTGATCTTCCTTTTAATGGTTTTTGCAGTTAACACTTAAGTTTCAAGCGTCGGGCATGCTTTCGGCTGCCCATATTCTACGAAAAACCTGTTGTAAGCACCTATCAGGTTTTCTGCTGCTTTGTTGTTCTTTAAACGGGCAATTGATATTTGAAGTTCGTTATAGTCGAGTAATGGAACGTCCTTTCTTTCATCATCGATTTGAGGTTACCAGTTAAGCGAACTCCGGTCGTTGCACTTTCACTGTCATTCAGCGGGCTGGAGAAGTATTTCCTCCATACACCATGCATGCACTGGACACTGGTCACCAGATTTTTACATTAGTTCCTAAATAAGTGTGCTTCGGTCTTGAAACTTTCTGTCAGTCTTGAACTTTCTGTCAGTTTTTTCACAGAACTTTCCAGCGTTACCTTTCTTGGCTTCTCAAGCTCTTCATACTCGTGCATATTGGCCTCTTTTTTGTCTGCAAATGCGTCTTGCTTTCATCTACAGTTCTCGGTATCTATCCTACTGCGCACATGTTGTGGTCGTTCGAAAGTTTGCGAGATACTCAGTTTGCTTTCTTCCAACAGCAGTTCGGGCATTACTCTTCATACCGGCTGTTTTTTAAACACTAGCGAAAACCAATTTTTTCCGTAATCACGGCACATGGTGAATTCGAGGTGTCGTCTAATAGTTTCCTTATATGGAGTTGATAATGACTGCTCCCGGAGAGCAGTGGTACAAGTCGAGTAAAAATCTTTCGGCTGTCTGTTGTGATTAAAACTTTGTCAAGTCAAATTTTCCGTTTATTTTGTTGACGAGTGTGCGTACTACTAAGTTAGTGATCCGCGTCGATTTGAGGTCTTCGAAATGTACGCTCATTTAGAGCACTAGAGGCATGGATTCCGTCAATTACAACATAATCAATTTGATAGCGTGATTTTCGATTGTGCGGAAAGCTGGTACTTTCTTATAGCAGATTTTAGGCCACTCCCTAATAGTCTAAAAATAATGATTTCTTCATCAAACATTTATACATATTTATATCTGCGTAGCGTATGAACACTATATATGTGTGTAGTCAACAAAAGTTTATAACAAAAACCCAATGACAACAATGTTGCCACGAATTCACCAAAAGGTCAATAAATTTTCAACAACTTGCCATACACAAACACATACAGTTATATACTCGTACATATATATATATATATAAAGTGAGTGAAGTGGCGCAAAGTGTTAAGTGTGGTGAGTGGACCAACTTACAGGTGTCAAACAACAAACTTTGCAAAATTCAATTTAAATTAAACTCTGACATTACATCAAACAACAACAAGTAATAAAATAAAAACTGAACCGAAGTGAAGAAGTATTGGGATGAAGAACAAAAAAAAAATCGTATTTACTTGCATTGATACTTTTCAACGGCCACAAGCGAATATTTACACATACCAAGGGGACGGCGGCGAAAAGCAACGCTTTCATACACCCCTTGCACTGGCATCGCACTCTAACTGCTATTGGCACTAATTAAAAATTCCGAAAGTTTGAAACAAAATAAGCAAAAGTTAGGTTAGCCATCTACCGCTACTACATACTTTCATCCGGCGTTTGCTTCACCTATCGCTTCATCGAACAGACGACGCTTAATGTCTTGCTACTGCTGGCTGGCTCGCTGATGAATTAAAGCTTACTCAGTGTGTGTGCATGCGCATGTATATGTGTGTGAGTGTGCGCGTGTGTGTATGTGGTTGTACGATTACGTATGTTTGTTGTTATAACACGCTTAATTTCTATTTTATTTAAAGGCAAATTAAAATTTTTTTATATAAAATAAAAATTGGAAAAAACGTTTGTAAAGCAGTAGAGGTCTAATGCTGTTTGGTGGGCGTGTCAAAAGTCACATGCCGACATGTATTAGCATTGAACTAGGCTATTGATTGAACATTATTATAGGTTAAACAGCGGTTAAGTGCTTGTAATTTGCGGAAGGATTGCACAGCAACTCCTGTAACTTCTTGCTTCTTGCTGTTATTTATCCCTCTCAATGAGGAGGTCAAGTTGCAAAGTTATGCTTGTTGTTAGCTTAATCTTCTTTACTTTGCCGTTTAAATTGTTGATGTACACAATTTGATTTTATGTAAATAGTTGAGTAAAAGGTTGAGGCAAAGAGTATTGAATTTCAAATATTTTGTGTGTTTGTGAGGAATATTTTGGAAATTAATTTTGCCCAGGCTGGAAGTGGGTATGATTAATGCGTGGTTTGTATGAATAAATATTGTACAATAAAAAATTAAAAACTCATGCCAAATATTTATACATATACATATTAGCTTGTGAGTGCGTCTATAATTCAAGTGGAGATAAATTTAAAAATCTTGTAAAAATGAAAATGGCAAATTGTGGAGATTCGAATAATTTTTCTAGTTGGAGTTTAAATTCATTTACTGTATTCAATTAACTAAGATTGGGATTCAAATTTCAAAAAAAGCTAATCTTTCCCTACTTTTTCAAAGAAACAAAAACGCAAAAAACTAAAATTTAATGGAGAATGCTAAGTATAATTCGTATGAACATTCTTGGGCATTTGTTTTTGGAATATTATCTCTTTAAAATGTTGGGAGCGGCGT